TTATTCATTTTGAAGCATTTTACTGAGTCCAGGCATTGTTACAGGTACTGGGGGGATAACAGCCGTAGATGAAACATGAAACTTCATGGGCTAGAAAGAGATGGCAAATAAAACGGATAGATGAATAACATATTTGTGTAGGGATCACTCCATGAAAAAGACATAACTGGGTGCTATGATGAGGGCAGGTGGTACAGAAGGCCTCCCAGAGGAGGGGAGATTCAAGCAAAGACCTGAAAGGAGTAAGAAAGTAAACTGTGTGAATAGTGAGGAAAGAGGATTCTAGGCTGAGGAAACAGGAAGTACAGAGACCTGAAGGAGCTCACTTGAGATATTTGAGTAACAGCAGATAAGCCAGTGTAGCTGGAGCAGAAAGATTAGAAATAGAGTCCAAGGAAGGCTGGGCATGGTGGCTCACGCCTGTAATCCCAACACTTTGGGAGGCCAAGGCGGGTGGATCATGAGGTCAGGAGATTGAGACCATCCTGGCTAACATGGTGAAACCCCATCTCTACTAAAAATACAAAAAAATTAGCCGAGCATGGTGGCGGGTGCCTGTAGTCCCAGCTACTCAGGAGGCTGAGGCAGGAGAATGGCGTGAACCTGGGAGGTGGAGCTTGCAGTGAGCCGAGATCGCACCACTGCACACCAACCTGGACGACAGAGTGAGACTCTGTCTCAAAAAAGAAAAAAAAAAGAACGAAAGAAAGAAAGAAAAAGAAAAGAAATAAAATCCAACAAGTAATCTGAGGCCAGATCCTGTACAGTGTTCTGGGCTGTGGTGAGGATTTTAGATCTTACTGTAAAGTAAGATGGGAAGCCATTGGAGGATTTGGGCAAGATTCTCTTTGTAGCCATTATCCTATTCCGATTTCAGTTCTATCAGTGACTTGCCTATGTGAACTTTTTTTTTTTTTTTTTTTGAGACGGGGCCTTGCTCTCTCGCCCAGGCTGGAGTACAGTGGTGTGATCTCGGCTCACTGCAGCCTCCACCTCCCGGGTTCAAGTAATTCTCTCACCTCAGCCTCCTGGTAGCTGGGATTACAGGGGTGTGCCACCATGCCTGGCTAATTTTTTGCTTTTTTAATAGAGACATGGTTTCACCATGTTGGCCAGGCTGGTCTTGAACTTCTGACCTCAGATGTTCCACCTGCCTCGGCTTCCCAAAGAGTTGGGATTACAGGCATGAACCACCGCTCCTGGCTGCCTGTGTGAACTTGAACGAGCTCTTGGTCCCTCAGTTTGCTGTTAGGTAAAATGTGGGTAATGATACTTATCCCCAAGAGGTATTAAAACAATTAGCTATTGGTTACAAAAGACTTGCAGCCTTCGAATGACAGGTATGGTATAGAATAATTACCATTATTCTGTATAGTCGTTATTTTAACACCTGTCTTCTTTTAGAAATGTAAAAAAAAATCTCTAAACTTATACCCTAAATAGCTGCATTGTAGAAATTTTTTAAATGTCCAGGAAGTTATGTTTCTGATTTCCCTTTGATTTCCATGTGAGAGATTTAGGATATTCCTTTCTTCTTTGCAAAAGAGATCTTAAAAGCTTCTCAGAAGTTGAAACCCAACATATATCATAAAATATTAGAATGAGAAGAGATCTTAGAATGTGTTGGGCAGAGTCTGATTTCTACATAGAGATGACTTTTAAAAATATTCCTTACTGTCCAAACTCTGTGTTTCCAGTGTATGAGAAATCACGTGGGGAGAGTAGCTTCCAGGCTAGGAGGGCTGCTGTGTTATTTGTTCAAGTTGAATGAAATTATTTGTAGATTGTGGAAAAATGTGATCTTACAGATCATCTGGTCTGATCTCATCATTTTACAAGCGAGTAAACTGAGAGAAGCAGAGTCTTGAGGACAGTTTCACTGCTGGTTAGCAGGAGATACTGGCTGAGAATCAGTATCATAAGACTTTCAGGCATCTGCTCTTTCTGAGTGCTCTTTCAGGCATCATGTTCTCTCCCCAGATTCATAAGCTACCTACCCTTGTGTCACATTTAGATATAATTGCAATGTTACAGGAAGTGATTTGCTGTAATTTCATATCCCTATCTCCATTGTAATGATGTGCTTTGCTAATATTGGAAGTGGTGGCTGCCACAGAATTTCTGTGCTTGGTGAGACAGCTGTACGTGAAAAAAAAATTTCCCAGACTATAATTTGACTGTATGCCACAAATGTTTTGCTCTGTATTTTCTCTTCTGCCTCTCTCTTTGTTGCTGGCTGTTGACTCTGCAAGTGGATTCTATAGGCTGTCCCACTGAAGCAGCAGAATTTCGGTTTTACATTTGAACAATTCAAATCTAAATTTTTTCATATTTTTTTCATGTTACTTTTGGCCTGAAAGACGTATTTTAATTTTGTTATAGATAATTATTGTGATAACTTCAAAAAGCAATGTGTTACACAGAGTTAGTGCTCATTACATGTTTATTCATTTGAAATGACCTCAGCATGTAATTTTAAGCCTTGTATTCCCATGATTTTAATGATAGATGTGAACCATTGTCATGAAAATGAGCAAATAGGCCGGGCAGTGTGGCTCACGCCTGTAATCCTAGCACTTTGGGGAGCTGAGGCAGAAGGATCCCTTGAGTTCAGGAGTTTGAGACCAGTGTGGGCAACATAGGGAGACCCTGTCTCTAATAAAAATAAAAATAAAATAAGGAAATATACATATATCATCACCATTATGATTAACATTTTCCTTTAATATTAATCTAGATTTCTTCCAGCAAACTTAAATGTGGATTAATTGAATATGAGAATATATGCATATATTCTCACATATATGAGATATGTAAATATGTGAAAGATGTAAATATGCCCACACATTCTCTTTCTGTTCCTTTGCATACTAGTACAATAACACTTAATTGACTGGAATTGCAAAACAAGGTGATGTTTTCTGCTTGGACTCTTTTTTTTTTTGAGACGGAGTCTCGCTCTGTCTCCCAGGCTGGAGTGCAGTGGGGCGATCTCAGCTCACTGCAAGCTCCGCCTCCCGGGTTCGTGCCATTGTCCTGCCTCAGTCTCCTTAGTAGCTGGGACTACAGGCGCCCACCACCGCGCCCAGCTAATTTTTTTTGAAGTTTTTAATAGAGACAGGGTTTCACCGTGTTAACCAGGATGGTCTCGATCTCCTGACCTCGTGATCCACCTGCCTCGGCCTCCCAAAGTGCTGGGATTACAGGCATGAGCCACCGCGCCCGGCCTGGACTTTTTTCTGTTGATAGCATATAGCCTACATGGCCCCTTCCTGAGCTAGAAACTGTAGCATTTATCAGTCTAACCTGTTAGGGTATTCCTTACACTGATATATATTTTTGTCATTCATTAAAAAATCAATGATATTTATACAAGTCAAAAATAACTATCAATGTTATTAATTTTTACTGTTTTTTTCTAAAAAGAAATGCCCCTTAAGGCTTTTATATGTTTTGCTTGATCATACTACGGAGAAATAAATTGATGTTTCAGGTACTTTGCCAGACATTAAGTTGTTGGCAAGAATGACCTTGCCAAATAATACTCTTTGCATAATTAAAGTTCTCAAAATGATCAGGGATCATATTGGATAATCAGATGGGTGATTAAAAGTGACAAGCTTAAAAATTTTTTTTTTTTTTTTTTTTTTTTTTT